CGCGGCGCACGTGGTTATCGCCGTCCAAAGGAAAGGAAAAAATGGCGCGCCTGGACTACCATTGCCTCAAGGGTTGGTGGCGGTCAGGAAGTATCCTGATTCTAAGAACGTAGCCCACCAACGGAGACTACCATCGTATGCGCCAAGGCTGAGCTTAGGCTGCTGATCGATTGGCGGGTCCCAATTTGGAAGATATGACCCATCGGCTTTCATCTTCCCTTGTCAATGGGATGGAAGGCCTTTCAACGTACAACGGGGTCTGGAATTTTTCACAATCAGCGGGATCGTTGGTTTAATGACGAACATTACGCGTTCATGCATGTTCTCACTAAATAACAGTCCTTAGCCGACCGTTGGGCGCAATGTTCCACGTAAAGAATTCCTCCCGGAACGCGTGGTGAAGGCTTGGACTCCTCGAGGACACGGAATAATGGCTAACCAAGCATATCCTTCCGGCGGCAAATATTGCGCATTGTAAGTAGCTAGGCCGTTGATGCAAGAGGCCGTTCTTCATATTTGAACAGCTTCTTGAAGCTTTGGAACGCTCTTTGTGATGATGTTGAATGTGTTCGAATGGTCCAGGGCAGGAATACCTCATTGCAGATTACCTGTAACATCAATGTCGAAGCTGCGGAGCATTCCCTACGAGTCATTTTGCGGTTTTGGTTGCATGCGTTGACTTGCAGAATCGAGGTCAAAGACGCTATTTTAAGATCAGGAACGGTTCTAGCCGGCCGTGTATGTCCGGCTAATTTCTGGAAGATCAGCGTTTCGTCATCTTCCTACACAACCTCGACGTACTCGAGCTCGTCGACCCTTCTAGCCCATGGCCGACCTTGACAATGGCCTCAAAATGCTCTTGAGAGCATCAGACGACGTAAAAGCAACCTTAGAAGTCTTAGTGATACCCACCGCATCTGATACCCAAATCGATACCCCCGTTCATTATCGTCAACCAACCGTTTCCAACTTCAGGACAAGAAGGATTGTCGCCGTCATTTCACACAAAGATGAACTTGACCACCATGAGGAAGGAAGGTGAGCACCAAGTTCCCTAAACTGGGCTTGTGAGTCCATATGACTATACGTTTGAATGGTACCGACCACACTTCCTTGTCACGAAGTGCTTCTGGCGGAGAAATCTCCAAGCCTCTTTCCCTGCGGCGGTTATTCCTTTGCCTAGCACATATGCCGTACCCAAGGGCTGGAAATAGGAGACGCGTACCTTCGACTTTACAGCCATCTTTCGCCCAAATATTCGGAACTGATCACTCTCTAGTGTCTTCGTTCTCAAACAGAAACCCCAAAATCATGCCTATCCCGAGAGTCTCGAAATACAACGCGTCTTTCCTGTCTGCGGAGACTTTTCTATTTCCATGGCCCAAATGCGAGTGGGATCCGTAGGAGGCTCACAAGACCGCACGGGTAATTAGCTCCCCATTTCTCTCACGATGTACTAACTGCTCCAGGCCTCAGGATAACTGTCAGCCCAAGCCCCCAAGACGAACCTCTTTCCTTCTACACGCAGGATGTTCAAGGACTACAAAGTCTCTTGGGTGAATACAGACGGCTCAAGGAGCTTTCAGGTGCATTACTTTCGAACCCATCATCATTCGCGATTGACGCCACTACTTTTAGAAACTTTCATCCCATCCTCTCCTTCCCAGACATATTCTTGGCTCGCGCCATATGCATCTGAGCATACCCTGCCAATAAGTGTGTCCTTGTCCTTCCTGTTTCTGACTACCGTTCTTAATTGAGCGCAGTAACTTCCGTACCGCCTGACCTTCGGGTTTTACACCAACCCCTCCACGAGCGGCTGTCACCTGCCAGCGCTGGATCACCTGGTGATGATACTCACGACATACTCCTGCTAAGGGATGATTGGGTTCGTACTCAAGCACGAGAGCAGACGCGTAAGGGACGCGCCCAGTTAAACATCCGAGTCGGCACTTTCAATGTCAACGGACAAACACCTTCTCAAGATCTCGTCTCATGGGTCCGGGGAACGTCAGATTACACTGGTAGTCATCTCATTCCACCATTAGAGGAGTTATCACCTTTTTCGATTCTAGATAACGAGAAAGACCCGCTGGAGTGTAAGCAATTTCACAATATCTTCAATAGAGACTAATCATACCTGATAGCCTCCACTAACTCCTCCTTAAGCACCGTCGACACTCCACCGATAGCATCGACCTCCACCGCGGTCTCTGTGGCGCCCAAGGAACTTCCCGACATCCTTGTTCTCGGATTTCAGGAACTCGACCTTTCTACAGAGGCCCTAATCTACTCCACCAGCACGGTTAGAGAGGATGCGTGGTGTACCGCTGTCTTTGCTGCGTTGGGCGAGCACCAATCCGAATACACCAAGCTGGCCTCAAAGCAGCTTGTCGGGATTCTGATTGTCGTGATCGTTCGGAAAGCTATTGCGCACAGGTTCGCCGATGTTAGGACTTCTGTTGCCGGTGTGGGCATTATGGGTGTGATGGGGAACAAGGGCGGAACTGCGGTGCAAGTCGTTTATAAGGGGGATCGGGCGATGACGCCAGTGAATCTGGTGGGACAGTCTTCACCTTCGTGAACAGTCATCTCGCAGCGTTTGATGAGATGGTCGACAAGAGGAATAGCGACTTTGCCGATTTAGCAAAGCGACTGACTTTCGGTCTTGAGTCAGGCGTAACTATTTGGGAGAGCGATGTTGTCTTCTGGATGGTAAGTTGCCTGTTTCGAGTTCTCGGACGAATCTTGATTCCTTTAGGGTGACTTGAATTATCGAGTTGATCAGCCGGATGGCGATGTACGTGAACTGTTGTTCGAGGCTGATCAACATCGCTGGGCACGGAAGAAGAACCTCAATGCATTGATGGCTTATGACCAGGTTTGTGGCGTTCGGGGATGCTTGAGCACCGTTGACGATAAACTTCCAGCTGCGAAATGCTATGCAATCTGGGCAGGCGTTTGATCATTTTTCTGAGCATCCGATAACCCATCCCCCGTGCGTATACTCAAAGTATTGTCTCTTCTAACAAAGATTAATATTAGATATCTAGCTCCTACCGCTATAGCCCTGGCGTTCTAACTGATTCTTTGGGATACGACATCAAGTACGATTTTGTGTATACCTTCCCGTTGTCTCACTCATTCCGTCCACAGGCGCAAACCGGCGTGGACAGATCGTATCCTCAATCTCGTTGGTCCTGCAGTTATGCTTAAGCAGCACACGTATACCAGCCACGCCCAAATTACGATGAGTGACCACCGGCCTGTGTCGGCCGACTTCACACTAGAGGTTGGAAGTGATCTCAGCGCTTCAGTAAACCACCTAAACCTCTTCTAGGTAGACATCTATAACGAGAAGGCACGGCTAACGACCGCTAGAAGCCTCTACCGCCAATTACAAGGATTGGACCTGGAAAGTAGAAAGGTGGGCGTAGAACCGGAGGAAGTGAGCATTGGGAACGTCCGGTATGTCGCTCCTCTCTTCAAGAAGTCATTTAAATTGACGGCAGTGTGTAGGTACAAACAGAGAATAACGAGAACGGTGCGATTACGCAACGATGGAAAGAATCCTTGCGTGTTTCGGTTTGTGCCGCCGACACCTGAAGGCGACATCTGTATGTACGTCTTTTATCAAGTCAGGCATTTACTTATCCGCCGTACGTAGCCCCGCCTTGGCTTACACTACAACCCGTCACCGTCAGTCCAATTTCTCCTTTTGGGTATACCTCTTCGACAAAACATTCAGGGCATATTACTACCTTATCAACCGCTGGATGTCACACTTACAATCAACGTCGACGAGAGCACGCCACATTACATGCGTGACCTCGACTGTACGCTTGTTCTGCACACTGGGCCTGGTTTAGGCAAGGACCGCTTCATCGTTGTCCAGGGCGACTACCGTACGTGCTTGTGTTTCTACCACTTGTCAATTGGAAGTTCATTTACAATCTCAGAACCTTCTTGTATTGGGATCCCTCTTGTCACCTTGACGGCGCTCCCAGGTCCTATACGAACGACTTGGGGGCAGAGCAACTCGAAGCAGAATCTCAATGCGCCTCGGGAGGTGATGCGCCTCGTAAACTGGATGATGGATAATCGGCTCATTGAGGCATTCACCGAGCTGGAAGAGGAGACCACGGGATACGACGAAGAAGCCTCGGTTTCGGAGCTCACTTCAAGTTTGCGCGCTTCGTCACTCAAGAGTCCTGAGCCATCTACGTCGTCTACGAGTCCGACTACTTCATCTATTATGACCTCGCCAGCCTCTGCATCGACGCTTTCGACAGCTGGTAGTGTGCCAGCCTCCGTCATGAAAATCCCACCAGCACCAGCACCAACTCTCGAAGATGCGGCGTCCGCTGTTCGAGAGTGTCTGGACACAAACACTGCTTTTCCATCTGGATTGCCGCCACAAGCGTATGGTATGATTTTGCTGGAATTGCTCGATAATCTTGTCCCCGAGCATGTTGAAATCGACAATGTATACAGTCGTGAGGAAGCATTCGAGGTGTGTCGCTTTCTAGTCCTCTATGGAAACTGGCTGAAAAGATGTATCAGGTCTTGGACGCCTTCCCGATCGTGAACGTCAATGTGTGGATCTCAGTGACGGCGTTCCTTCATTATATTGTGCAGCAGGAGGAGGATAAGGCGAGGATGATTGGTCTGCATTTCGTCCAGATTTTCCGTATCGAGTGTTGACTCTTCTATAGCAGCTGTTCTGGCACCCGTTGTTCTGAGGGATTCGCCTGCGACTATCGTAGAGAAGAGGCGGTTTGTTCGGTATTTTATTGAGGCATAGATGGGGGAGGCATCGTGCGGGCACGTTGCATGTAAATTACGACGATTGCTATGTACATATTGGACGCATGTATCTGGCAGTACCTTGCATAACCGCTTAGCTCTCTTTTTAGTGGAGGATTGCTGAAACTATGATAAAGAATTACATTAAATAGCAGCGAAAATGGTCAGGAGGCGCAGTAAGGCACAATCGACAAGGTTCAGTGGTCTAGTGGTTATGATTTGTGTCTCACATCGTGTACACACAAGGTCCCCGTTTCGATCACGGGCTGAACCATTTTTCGAGTTTTGTGTCGGCATTGAGCAAAATTTAGGGTGGCGCACTGTAGGGTCGTGGAAATAACCTCGGGGGGTGGTAAATAACTGTTATTTACCTACCCTCCCAGAGGCCCAGGTTATTTACCGGTTAAAAACGGTTATTTACCTGCACGTGATATTTTCACGTGACATCTCCGCGGGGCATGCGTCAAGTGTTTTCAGCCTTTCCCAGCCAGATGTCACACTTCCTCAGTCCCATCGGAGTCAGATAGATTTCAAAGGCAACAATAGTAATTTTGCTTGCCTCTGAATATACTTAGTCCTAAGTGCATAGTACCTTTTTTCCGTGCGCCACACATCACGTGGATATGTCACGTGCAGGTAAATAACCTACCTCCAACAGCCTTAGGTTACAAACCGGTAAATAACCGGTAATTTACTGGGAAACAACCTCTCGGTACTGTAACCTAGGTTGTTTCCACTACCCTAGCGCACTGCGCAGTAAACCTCCGGCGGGTGTTATTGATACTGACCCCGGAGGTCCTGGTTTTGAAACCGTTAGTAACGGTTTCGATACCGGCACGTGATGTGGTGCACCGCTCCGCCGCTCCACCCGCCCTTATCCCACCACTTTCAGCTTGCCTGAGCACCAGCGCGCCATCACGTCACGTGTCAGTATCGAAACTGTACCAATACCTCAGCCGAGGTTTCGATACTGTATTGATACCGTTAAAAACCACAGTAAACCCGACTCGGAGGTGTTTGGTGGTAATACTGGGTAATAATTCCACTTTGTACAGAGCCTGAAATACTGCTTTTTTAACTCACTTTTCGAAGTGAGCCGGCACTTTTGACAAGTGAGAGTGTGCCTCGACAAGTGAAGAGCTACTTTTCTCAGAGTAAGATCCTGGTCTCAGAAAGTGAGTGTGAACTCTGGCAAAGTAAACTTCACTTTCTGAAAGTGAGCAGCCACTTCCTCAGAGTAGAACCTCACTGCTGATTTTGATTAGAAGACGGGGCGGGAAGGCGGCAGAAGTGGCGGTGTTTCGCTGCATACCACATTAGGATAGATGATGACATCATGATGGTACCCTCGCAGTGAATAAGGAATCGATAACAATGGACTTTCCACAGCAGAAAGATGGGCTCAGACGCGTCGTAACTAGTCGTAATCGTGTGAGTTCACCCTGTTCTGATGCGAAACGACCCGTGCAGCACCGAGAACCTTCTAGACACAGCATTCTGAATATGGTCATCACCATCCCAAGCCAACCCTACGAGAGAGAAATGTCGAGCACCTCTCCATCTGCTTAGCACACGCTGTTAACGGTTTATTTGGCCACACTTGTTTGGCCATGCCATGAAAAAAGACTATAAAATGCCCCATCTCCAGTCCAAGGATGCCCATTCTGCTCATTATGACTACCCTGCTACCACTCACATCTTCAGACATTGCCGGAAGAACGACTGTCCGCAAGCTTGTGGACAAGCCTTCGTTGATGGCAAGAGTCTCGGAGAGCTCAAACTCAATCATCTGTGTGACGTTTGTAGCTGTCCGATTGGATCCCACATTCTGGTAAGTTTTATTCTCGAATCACGTTAAACTTTGTCCATCGTGTTGCTGTAGTTACCCGAAGACAACAACACATCAGCGTCAGCGCCGCTTGCTGAAAAAAAGGTATCTCAGACTTCTGCCTTCTCTATTCGACATCTCACACGTCACCTTGCATAGGTCAATACGAACAAGATCGATCCTAAGCCTTTACCGGTGCCACCGCGGAGACTCTCTTCGCATTTCAAGACAAGACGAAGACCAAGGACGAGAAGCCACCTCACCATGCTCCTGGTTCACTCAACAAGCCACCCGAGAACCCGTGGTGGGATGCCTCGAAGGCCCGAGCTGCTGCGAAGGAGCGCGATGCCCGTCGACAAGAAACTGTTACTCATAACAGCAGTTCTACTTCCTTCAAGTTTGATCCCTCAGAAAAAGTATGTTCAGTGTGTCTTGACTTCGCAATGAGCTCATTTTCTTTAGATCATCGCTGATAAGATAGCCAACAAGACTGGTGCCCCGCCATCTCGAAAGAAGAAAGGCAGCACTGACTCTGATACGCCCGAGATGACGATCATACTCATCCCGCAAACGAAGGCCGCACATGAGGAGACAGTTCGGCGCCCCTCCAAAGCTGTGTATGTCGGTCCGTAAGACTTGTATACTTGAATTAACGTATCATTGCAGCTTTCAGAATCTGCAAAGCACGGAGAATCGCTATGTTCGGAAAGTCCATGTACCAAAATCTGCATCGGGACCACCATCACCATGATCATCTTCGCATTTCTTAAGGAGCGACTTCCCGAGGAGACGAAAGATGTCGACGCTGCAACTTTCTTTCATCTTATGGACGTCGTCACACCAGGGATGCGTGGCAAAGCTTCAACACTCGTTCCGAATACCCTTATTCAACGGGGTGCCGCGTCGTACCAGACAATACGAAGGTAAGCTGTTGTCTTGTCTCTTACCTCCGATGAACGTAGCTGACTCGGCAACGTAGTGCCAATACCAACTGGCATCCTTCGCAAATGAAGGAAGACGATGTTCCTTGCCCGGTATATGTTTGCTTAGCAAAGAACCAGGCGGATCTACCGTTACATGAGCCCAACAGAATTCCAAAGGTACGAGTCTGAATTATTCATATTCATTATTGCCCACTCATACTCTTACTAGCGTGCCAGAGATGATGATATCAAGTCTACAAGCGCCGGTAAACGTCAAAAAACCAGTACCGAGAATCTCAAGGCCGAGTCTGGCAGTGGCGACAAAGCCTCAAAGACTCCTCGTCCTAATGAGCCCATCTCAATCTCCGACGATGAGGAAGAGCCGGTTGTGGTCGAGCTCAAGCCAAAGGTTTGTCTGGCACCTCATTCTGCACTGCCGGTCTAACCATATCTAGCAGATTCTTGACATTCCTGCATCTGTTCTCCTACTGAAAAGGATGATCACGAATACCCATGCCGCACCTGATTATCTGGGTGCTGGGTATGCTGCATCTGGAAAATGGGTACGGTTTTCACAGTGCTGGGGTTAGAGACCTCAACGAGTCAACAGATCACACGGGTTTACCCATACTCGATCCGCTCGGGCATCTCGGAGATCCGATCCGTTTGATCCGTAGACCCGTGGCGGGTCGGATCAGTAATGGATCGCGGATCGGGCTCTGGAGGCGTGAGTACTCGTCGCGAGTACTCGCGTTGACTCGTGAATATTTAGCTATATATTTAATCTTAATTTATAAATTTTTGCGAAGTCAAATGGGCCCATGCGTCACCCAGAACAGACGTGATAAGAATATCTCGCGATCCGGCGCTTCGGGCCGAGTCCCGAGAGGACGCGTAAGCCTCTGATCGGTGACTCGATCTCTCTCAACTCTTTCTTCTGCCACCACCACCACCACCCAGCGAGTGACGATCGTCGCCGCTGCCTCTCTGACGATTGTCAGGAGGCCTGTGGGGTGCTTTGTTGAGCCCTAGCTGTGTGCTGGGCGTGCTGCTGTCTCTGTGACAGCAGCAACGGACGACTTCAACGACAGCGCCGACCTTGGACAACTCCCGGATGACGATGGCGACTGGGATGGGGCGACGACGGAGATGGGGTGACGACGACGACGGACTGATGACGATGAACCGACGACGGATGGGGTGGTAACGCGATGACACGGTGACACGATGAGCGCGCTGATGGACCCGCCGCCGCCGATGACAGAGACCACAGACCACAGACCACCATCACCCACACCACCACCACCACCACCACCACCACCATCTCCATCTCCACCACCACCATCACCATCTCCACCACCACCATCTCCATCTCCACCACCACCATCACCATCTCCACCACCACCATCACCATCTCCACCACCACCACCACCTCATCCACTCTCACCACCACTCTCCCTTCAACCTCCACTACCCAGTCTGCATCATGCATGACTGAGTGTCCCCGTGCCATTGCCCGGGGATACTCGTCGCGCATGAATAGATTTGGGCAACGGAGTACTCGAGTTTACTCGAGTACTCGACCCGCTCGGCGATCTCGGCGATCCGACTCGTCTTGATCCGTAATCCGTGGCGGGTCGGATCAGATAAGGATCGCGGATCGGCAGTTTTGGCGACGGGTACTCGCGTGGTGGATCGCGGATCTGACCCGGATTTGAGTCGTTGAGGTCTCTAGCTGGGGTGCGACTGCTTGCTTAATGTTTTGTAGTCAACGACGTCCATAACACCGCCTTACGATCTGTTTATGGCCGTCCTTGGGCATGCTGAAGGACTCCTCCAATCAATTTGAACCTCGTCTTTGATAACGTCGGACCCCAACCTCGCCGCAAGACTCGTCTATTCTCAACACTTGTACGCTGAGCCGTTCGCTCGGTTTGGTCCTCTTCAGGAATGGCTTGACAATGCGCCGCTTGGGGCAGACCTCGACCCTACGAACAATGAGGTGTTTGTGCGTCTTTTCAAACTAGGCGCACAAGGAATGACTATTGCCGCGGAGTCCCTCTTAGCGCTCTCCGGTCTCATCAAGTTCATCACCCAACAGCATGGCCTCTCGGAGGAATCTTTCGACGAACTCCGCATCATTCACGATGCAGTGTCCGACTTCGGTGGCCTTCTCACAAGACTGCTCGATCTCTTCTTCAAACATGTTCCCGGGCGATTTTGGTTCCCCAAGATGGGGCTGCGTCAGCTCGCTGCTGTCGTAGCCTGCAATTATCCCCTGCTCCTTGAATATGCGGTAACTACCTTATCATTTCAGGACTACCTGTTACTGACAAGCTTGTAGCCCGCCGGATCTGCAGAGTCCATGATCTATCAAGGTCTGTTGAAGCTCAGGGAACTCCTGGCTTCAGATGCCACTTCGTCTCGAGATCTGGTGGTGCACCTTACGCAATTTGCTGGAGACGCGCAAGACCCATCGAAAATGTCTATGGCATTGATCGCACACGGAAACTGCGGCCTGGA